CTTTTCTTATTTCCCTCTTTCATTTCTTTCATCTCCTGTTATTAACTAAAATGCCCCACTTGTGAATCATATACCCCAGAGGGTCAAAGAGACACACACACAACTCCAGGCTAAGAATGAAAGGAAAACGATGAGGCCCAATAGAAATGGCTCAGATGGGAAATAGACAAGAACAGTTCTAAGTTTATCTCTGGGCACAGGAATTTCCTACTTGCCAGCTTGCTAAAGGAAGACTAGAACTTAAGACCTATGATTAATGGGAAACTGTCTATCTGACAGGAGCTCCTCAAAGCATATGTCACTTTGAAAGTTCAATAATGCTCTTTGGAGTAAAAACCACCTAGGGTCTTAATCCTTCAATAATTACTACCACCCAGACAACTAACAATTGCAATTAATCTTATCTCTACTTTAGTGATTAGCATCCTCTTCTGTAATAAGAGAACTGATGAGCATAAAAGACTTTGCTGGTTTTTGCCCTGGTCCTCTTCTTAAGTTTTCCATTCTTCAGACTATCTATCTCCAGCTCCTTCGACTGTACCTCATGTGACATCCTTCTGCGTCCCCTCCCAAGCCTGGGCAGGCCAATACCGGTCTGGTTTGCCACACCCCTCTTAGAATTAGGGTACCTGAGCTGAACACCAAGTTCCAGACTAGTTTATAAAAGATGATCACCTTGCTCATCAATGAAACTCTCCCTTTATACATCTACTGTATACTGTGGGCATACAATATACGTACACGCCCCACCAGGCCTTGCCAATTGTAGACACCCTATGTGTGTGGAAGCAATTAGCTAGCAGTTAAGAGTCAGCCTGACATTTTGGGATAGCCACATCCTTCTCACTCAAAATAAACTGTTTTGCACATGCTCTAGCTAAACACCATTCCTCTTCCTACTTCAGATCATTGTTCAGATTAAAACAAAGGTGTGCCGGGCGTGGTGGCTCACGCCTGTAATCCCAGCACTTTGGGAGGCCAAGGCAGGTGGATCACGAGACTGAGCTGAGCTCAGAAAGAGCAGAGATATCCTAAGCCCACCTGCATTCCTTTCCTAACACACTGCCCTCCTCCCTTCCCAGGTGACATGAACCTGACCAGATGTCCTCTGGGGCACCTGTGATTCACACTACACTACATGGGTCTCTATCTCCCAACAGAGTTACAGGTCCCTGAGGGAAAAGTCTCTCACTCTCAGCACCTTGTTCTTTTTCTTCTTTTTTGTTTTTTTAAGTATGTTTGCGTGTGTGTGTGTGCTTGTTTTTGAGACAGAGTCTTGCTCTGTCATCCAGGCTGGAGTGGAGTGGCCCGATCCTGGCTCACTGCAGCCTGGAATTCCTGGGTTTAAGTGATCCTCCTGCCTCAGCCTCCTGAGTAGCTGGGACTACAAGTGTGTGCCACCAGGCCCGGCTTCAGCTCCTTTTTCATTCTTGAGTCTCTCCAGCCAAGCCTTATATGCAGAAGGATGAATAAAAAGAAAGAAAAGAAAAGAAAAGACAAGGAAGGAAAAGAACAAATAAACTGCCTAAACTGCTGTCGCTGCAGGTATCAGACCTGGGCTACAAACAGGGTGTACAAACAGGGTGTTTCTTTCCTTTAAATTAAATTATGGCTGACTCTGAGCTTTCTTCCCACTGGGCTGGCAGGAGACTCAGCTGTCACGGGGACTGCCACCCCTCAGGTGGGTCAGGGCTTGGTGTGGCGCAGTGCCAGAGCACTGGGCAGGCCCCTTGAATCATGGTGAATCAACAGTCCTGTGAATCCCACCAGAGCCTCCAGTGTCTGATCTCCCAGGATCCCAGAGGAGCCAGAGGTGGCTGAATGTGGGACAAGAAAGCTGGTGAGGCAGAGAGACCTTTAGCCTAGGATCCCACTGCACTCACTAGAGCAAGCTTGGCCAACCCGTGGCCTGCATGTGGCCCAGGATGACTTTGAACATGGTCCAACACAAATTTGTAAACTTTCTTAAAACATGATGATTTTTTTGGGTGATTTTTTTAAAGCTCATCAGCTATCGTTTGTGTTAGTGTAGTTTATGTGTAGCCCAAGACAATTCTTCTTCTTCCAATGTGGCCCAGGGAAGCCAAAAGATTGGACTTCCCCGTTCTAAAGGCTCACATCAGCACCCAGGGTGCTGCCATGAAACACACGCACGTCTCCCACACGCTCAGAAGCCCCGTTTCTCTCCAGTCCCCTGGCTTTCTTTCAATGAATCAACTGACGTCTCTTCTTCCATCCTTCCCTTCCCTTTCCTTCCTTCAACAGCTTTTCTCTCACTTTCTGTCTCCTTCCTCTAGGGCACGTGCCGTTGTGTTTTCTACGAATTTGGGCTTTAACAGAAGACAGGAGGCACCAGAGACCTCTGAAACTCTCTGTTTCTGTCCTTCAAAAATTCCTGAAGCAGAGAAATGCTACGGGCCCCACTAGTTGTTTGGAATGGTGGGAGATGGGGAATGGGAAAACCAAGAAGAAACAAGCTGGAATCTCAGGAGTTGTGTGGGTGGGCCACTCAGGAGCTGTTTCCTA